TAAAAATACATGTCTCCTGAGAGTTAATTGTGCTGATATTGTATATTTAAACAGTAGCTTTTGAAAGAATGCACCCTGCTAGTTTGATATTTAGCACTCTGAGTAGTGATCAATCCCTATCAAATATATATAGTCGGATCTAAAACCATCAATGAATTATAGGGCAACATATTATAGAGCGTAGAAGATGCGTAATGACAAATTTAACATAAGCCTGTTGTCTGGTCTGACCAGAATTTTCACGCCCACTTCTGAAAAAACTAACATCCTTATTTCACCGGGAAAAAGAAAGTGAACAAACCCATGTTGTGCTTATCTACTTAATCTTTCCTTCCAAGTTCAGAAATTTTTAAGAGGTAAACGACTACATGTTGTAGATGGTTTAAAAAGAAACCGTCACTTCCTTGAATTGTTCAGCTATAGCGGATCACTAAGGTAAGTTAGTAATCCGTTAAGTTTGCCGACAGGGCGCGGATCTTTTCGCAGGCAAGGAATTCAAGGTGGAAATTTGGTCCAAGATTTTATAACCAAATATCTATGTGGGGTTGCTTGCGCCTGCTTATTATAGAAGATACATCTTTCTCAAGCGCGATACAAATCTCCCGCGGCATCCCTACGGAAAACTTTGACAGCTAGGAGTGGCACACAGTTTCACAGATGTTGTATACGTCAAACATGATTGGATGCTGAAGATCAAAAGTCCTCGTTACTTCCTCATGAAGCTCTTGGATGTCTTTCTCTCTGTTTGCCTCATGTTTTTCAACATCTTCACCGCGAGTGCTGAAAGTTAAATTTTTTCGCTGTTAAGCGAGAAAAAGTCCTGCTATCTGCTGAGGTGTGAGGAAGTCGTCCTTTTCAAAGATACTAGAGCCATTGCTGAGCTTAGCTCTTTGCATTGCCTTCGAAATGATAGAAGGATCAGCTTTTTTCCCGGTGCGTTCTCCTCCTTGAAATACTTCAGTAAGATAGTTTTTCTGAGCATCGGTGAGGTTCTTGCGTGTTGCTATCGCTGACTTCAGAGCCCATCCCATCAGTAGCGCTGGACCTTTATCCTTTAACGATATATATATATACATCTTCATTCACAGTTTCAGGAACGGCACCACCGCCATGCTCCAGTTTACCTGCGTCATTGCTTTGTCGTACAGCATTTCTTGTTCTAGGGCATACTTGTTTTTCCCACAGTCCAGATGTTTTTTAAGCACGAGAAATACAGGAAGGTTTTCATATACCCCTCCTCTGGACAATATAGCGGCCCACCTCCTTTTCACAGGTTTCTTCGTCACTGTCATTCTCTATTGCTGAAGCCGTTGTCAAGTCTGTTGTTTATTTTGCACTTCGTCTAGCTTTAATGGTTTGAAAAGAAAGGTGGGAAATCGCATTAACTGTATTCTTGTTTAATTGAGGAAGAAGGTTACTGCTTTGTTGACAGAAACTACCCTAAGGTAAAAATTTACCGGAACCAACTCCATACGCTCTCCACAGTAACACTCTTTCGTTGGTGTATGTAATGTTATTATAAAAAATAATACTCCTTCCCACTTCACTGGCGTTGACTTTGCAGTAGGTTATGGACCGCTCACTATCATGCTGACTCCGGCAATTCCACCAGATGAATCAGTGGCTGTCATCATTTGCGTTGCTGTCTCGATGTCAAGGCCAGCACTGAGATAGTGGTGGCCTTACAGTCACATGAGGCTTTTCCACCTTAGGGTCTGAAAGTTAACGCCCTTCAGGTGATTTTATGCCTAGTCAAGCGCTACAGCGGTTACGCTATCAGACCTCCTAACACCTCTCTCTCACATGGCTCCGAGGCTAGGGGGAATAAAACAAAATAAATCAATTATTCATCCCTCAACATCAATGTGATTTCCTCTGTTTTATTTCCCTCAAGCCCTGGAGCCAAATTTGAATTTAAAAATATCGAAAATGGGTCGGGGCAAGATGATTGTTTGCTCCTGTTTTGTATATTTGAATCTCGTCCTAAGTTCCCGAAGCCACGTGTTTCACAGTCCAATGTTCTATTTTTGCGGAGTTGTCGCTTCCAGTAGACCTCATTTTGAATTAATTAGCGTTTTTCCGCATGCACACGAGAAACATGTTTCTGAACTAGTAACATTCCGCTAACATTTGGTTCGTGGTTCGGTTGAATATTAATATTTAAGCAAAGATCTCTTACGCGAAGTAATTACAGCCTCCTCTTCAACTAAATGGGAATAGACAAACCTCAAATCAAAAACCCCGAAATACGTTGTGTAAGAGCATGATCAGGAAGCGTTGACCATTCTGCCGAGTTATTTTGCTTTTATGTGAATGATGCAACAATTTGAGGACTGTAGCCCTCTTCTTCAAAACAGCAACATGGAAGGTAAGAGGATATTATGTTAAATAAGCTGTAGATTGGACGTAAAATGCCAAACAATTGAGTTTGCGTGTGAATGTGTGCATTTTCGGCTAACTAACGGCACTGTCGAATCTGTGCATTTCATCCGACATTAAAATTTGCTTAAATCGCGCTGAATCATTTACCCGAAAAATCCTTCTAAGATCGAAAAGAACTTCACTTTATCTTCCAAAAGCCAGGTTTTCAGTCAATTATTCTGAGTAATACATAGTTAAATAACGGGTTACTTTTGACCTTTTTTTAAACTAGTCACAAGTAGGTCGCATAAACTCAATTAGATTGTGTTAATAAATCGTCAAGAATTGCTCAAATTGTTGTCAACACATGTTTTGATGCTGTTTTTCAAGATTTGTTACTTTTCATCAGTCCAGGTTTTTTTCATTTTATGACGCGACGTTCCGAGATTCGCCTGAAATTTTGAGCTTAAAAAGCAGAATTTTGGCGGAATTCAGTTATTATCGATTTCTGGAAAATGAAACGAAGTAAGCAGTGGTTTTTTGTCTCTCTATGGCCTACATGACTTGAGAATATGAACCGAATTGTTTTTTGGCTTTTGTTACCATATTTTGAAACGTTCGATTTTTGGTCACATTTGCTCTTAAAATCGACGGTGACAACAGTCCCAACGATCAATAGGGAAATATTTTGTAGGACTGTACACTAAAAACAGCCGGCTGATTTTTGCCTACATTTTGCTCCATTCTCAATCAAAGTTCACTTTATAAACCTCGAAAACGAAGAGCAAACAGGCAAAAGAATACTTCACTGGAAAGAAACGGGCTTTAAAGTCTTGAAATTGACGATGACGACAGTCCCAAAGATAATTATGGAAATATTTCCTCCCGCCGCGTGAGCGATTTAAATATTTGTTTCTGAAGTTGATTTTCGCGTATCTACGTGGCTGCCACATGGGTGTGTGCCACGCATATTTGGCAGCTGGTTTACCATGTTTTCAGTGAGGTTTTAAACATTTAATTTGATTTTACCCTTAAGACATACAATTATATCAACCCGGTAATTTCTGTGAAAGATTTGTAACCGGTTTTGGAAAATTTAAAATTGTTTCACAACCGCACCTCCCTCATATCCTCAGTAATAGTTGTTACGATATGTCAGAAATAATCTGATAGGACCTCTCGCATTTTCAGACATTTACAAAATTCTCGACAATGTCGCAACCTATGTCCTGATGAGTTTTTGGCATCTTAGATCACGCTCCCACAACTCTCCAACTTAAAATTAAAGAAGTTATTCACATTCAATGGTGGCAACCTACGCTTTAGCATCATTTCTGTCATGTTAATTTAAAACTTTCCTTATAATTGCATACATTATTCTGTTTCTATTGTTTGTTTTGTTCAAGGAGCATTTTGATATACTTTAAATTCAACTTTTTACTTTGTCTGCTGACGGAAGAACTGTCGAAACATCAATCGTTTATTCAATCAATCGTTTATTTACCTACGTAGTGTCTACTGAGCTGGAAAGCATGTTTTTTAAAAGATGTCGTTTCTTTTCTCAAATTTGTGACATATCTGCTGCTATCCAGACCTTTTGACAACAAATCTCTAAGGAAACTCGGGTTACCGCTTCAATAGCGTCTAACTCATCCTTGACTGGCAAGTCAGCTCTGTGCATTGATGGAAACTTGTGTTCAACCAAAACCAAAAGTTGCCTTGGCGTGACGAATGCATAAGTCGATAGGGAATGGGAAGGAGGCTTGAAACCTCTCGCAACGCGGCGAGCCGCTGGTGACGCTAGCGTAAGACACGGCACTTTTTAATATTTTTTGCCCTGTTTGTTAATGCTACACCTCACCATACAGTCTAGACCTTCCTATTATATTTATTGTTTATAGGATCCATTAGAAGGTAAAGAAACTGTGACAATTTATGCCGGCGTTTGTGGTTTTCAAACAAACAGACGTGTAGTTGCATCTCATTAAGCGCATGTGTAAGATTTCAACTTTTTCGCAAACATTGCGACATGAATCTGCCGCGGATTAAAACTGAATTGATTCTCGAAAGCTGGGGAAATATTGCAGTAACAGAACGTTTTAGGGAGCGAACATTTAGAAGTGAGCAAAATACAAAAATGAAATGTTAGCTGGTATGACAGACGAAACTAAAACAGTGCTTGTCTATGACAGTCACCCAAACACGAAAAATCTACCTGCTTGTATACTGACGTGGTCAAAACAGCGTATTAATAAGATTTTCTATACGTTGAGAAAGTTATATTGCGACACTGAACAGCTGGGAAGTGAGTTTTCTCGGTCAAGGATGAATTTTTTCAATATCATATTTTGTTTGCTCTACTTCAGCTCGATCTTTCAAACACTGAGCGGAGTGAACAGTACATCTAAACAAGTCACATCCAACAAAACTCCCGATACTTCAACAACAAGCAAGTGCCACAACGTTCACTTCAATAACTACTATTCTGGACCAGCAAATAAGGATATCAAGGCACATCTTCTCAAAATAGAGAATCAACTGGCAGATTTAGAAAAGAAAATCGATGCTTTGACGGAGAACAAAACAACTCCGCCAGGTGAGTTTCTGTCAATTTTGTATATACGTCTTACAACTCGTCCATGCTGAAATATATCACACTAACTATAGTTGTTCGATGTCTCTCAACAGCTATGAAAAACTGTGCTGAGCTGTACAAATCCGGCGAAAGAATTACAGGAGTTTACACAATCGATCCCGATGGTTTCGGTGCGTTTGATGTGTTTTGCGACCAAAAATCTGTCGGTGGGGGGTGGACAGTGTTCCAGAAGAGACTCGATGGCTCCGTTGATTTCGTCAATCGCGGCTGGGCGGACTTCAGACGTGGATTCGGAAACTTAAATGGTGAGTTTTGGCTCGGACTGGACAAGATACACCGCCTGACCAAAACAAAGAGTAGACTGCGAGTGGAACTTGAAGACACACAAGGAAAGACAGCTTACGCTGAATACGATATGTTCTCTGTTTCCAGCGAAAGAAATAAATACAGACTTGGCCTTGGGAAGTATACAGGTGAGTGCCGAATTAGAGCGATTCTTTCATTTTCATACAGACCAATAAGCCCAGCGTCTCAGAAAAGGTTACTATAACTGTTATTTCCAGATCCCCCAAAACAGCAGATTCTTCGTTTTTGCTTGTTTGTTTTTGTTTTTTGTTTTTTTTAGAACTTATCGCATTCTCTTCTATCATCAGAGACTGAAAAACTCTGACATTCAATTTCTCTCCAAAGTCAGTAACACAATTTCTGGACTTTCTGTTGGTTCCTGAACTCCCGTCTTTGAGGGGAGCCGCAAGTTTAGTGTTGTGCCTACTTTTGCCAACTGTCGGTGTTTTTGTCTCAGGAACTGCTGGGGATTCTTTGAGCTATCATAGGAACATGGCATTCTCCACCAAAGATCGCGACAATGATAATGACTCGAGCAACTGTGCCGCATACTATAAAAGTGCTTGGTGGTACAATAGCTGTGTTCATGCCAACTTAAACGGCTACTATTACCACGGTTCGCACGTCGGGTCTGCCTATCGTGGTATCAACTGGTATACATGGAAGGGTCATAGTTACTCCGCTAAGAGAGCTGAAATGAAGATCAGGCCCGTGAACGTTTAAGCTAGAAAGATACACAAACAAGGGATACACTACATGAGCTATAGTTTATCAGCTTTTCTACATAGTTGAGTGACACGGAATAGAAAGCAGTGTAACGTGCTTTAATATTTGAATGGGTCTAACACAAAGTAATGGGTTTAATAAACTGAAAGAGGAAATACGTTTAGTTTATTTTCGTGTATCAATATTCATTTTGCGATCGACAGCTTGAAACAAAAATTATGAGCAACGTCAGTCATTTCTAGTGAAATGTAGAGAATGATCAAGGTGATCTGGAATTGCGCTAACTTTAATAAAAATCTCTATGTTCTGTGATTGGTCTGGAATATGTAACTATGTAGAGTTCTCAAGAGGTTTATTATTATTACTATTTTGATGATATTTATACCTTTTTTCAGCTTTGCTATTTCGTCTGACAAAAATTTACCCTTGTAAGTTTATTTTAATAACGACACCTCTCTCACCCTCCCTCTTCCCCAAAAAAAAAAAAAAAAAAAAAAAGGTTTTCAGTTGTGCTAGAATGGTCATCAGTCACAGAGTTGTCTATAAGATCTTGGATCCCTGATCCAAGCATAAGGAAACTGAAAAGATCTATAAGTACCTTCCCTGAATAGGACGATCGATTCAAGGCATTCTCTTTCAGGGTGCTGTTTAAGACAAGGGCTAAAATATGGAACAGTAGATTGTCTCATATGATTTATTTATTATTCTTATCAGAAGTTTCAAAAGAATCAGTAGAATGAAAAAGAAAACAAACAAACAAACAAGGAAATGATTTTCAACGAAAATTCTGCAATTCAGTTTAGTTGCTTTTTCAAAACAGTTTCACAATAATTTTAATAGACTACTGTACTTATAAAAGTGTCAACGAAACTAAAAATTAAGATTCTTAAGAGAAACCCAATAATTATGCTACTTCCGCCCAACTCGAGTCTCATGACTACTGCACTTTTTAACCTGCGCGTCAAGCAATCATCACTGTAGTTTTCGCTAAGCACTCAAACCTCCATTAGTTAATCTTGTTATCTAAATAGATCATAATTTATTTTTAATTAATAGGCCGAGAATTTCACACCACCCCCAGACTTGCATTTTCGAGGATATGAATTTGTAAGCTGTTCCGTATATAAACCAAATAACCTGGGAAGATTACAGGAGTTTTGTCGCTGTCCCGTTTGCGGTTTCATCCCTTTTTGTGTTATCGTAGCGCTAAATGCGTCCCGTGGAAGATTTATTTGATAGCTATATGGTGTTGCATGCCCTTCGTTCAAAAGCACTTCGGCACAATCCGTAAACTCGTTTTCGTGTGCTACTGTCAAAGCGCTTTTTCCACGCTCGTTCACTTTATTTACATCCAGCCTGTTCCTTCTGAAGACTTTGGATATCGTTTTAATAATATTTATATTGCCGGACATGCTTGCTAATATTAGATTCGTGTTTCCTTCAGTGTCTACGCTGCCCAACGCAAGGTCAACCTCGGGATAACTAAAAAACAGCTTGACCATGTCTTCTCTTCCCATAAGACAAGCCCATGACAAGGCCGAACGGCTAAACTTGTCTAGTAATTTAATCTTGGCGCCGTAATTCAGTAGCATTTTAGCAGTCCTGCGGCGAAGCTTACTGTTTTCTAAGAACATTGCTCTAATTAGAGCAGTTTGTCCGTTCTCCAAATCTTTGCAGTTTACGTTGACACCCGCGTCTAACAGCAAGCGAATTTGACGAAGTCTCCCTTGACTGACGGCTTCTAAAAGTATCCTTGGCCTTCCACTGACAACAGGAGGCCTTGCACAGTTGTTCTTGTCGAATTCAGTGTCTACCCACGCAACCTTTTGTTTAAGATCGGGAAATGGTTGCCTTTGGTGACCAACCGACGACGAAGGTGATGTCATAACTTACGCTTTCTCCGGCCTATTGAGACAAGCCCGCTATTTCTGTTGTTCGCCCGCTCGAAAAAAACTCAACTTCTTAGTTCAAGTTGACAAACTGTGTAAGAGGTATGTTTGTTAATTGTTGTAGAGTTTCATAGCCTTGTAATTGCTCGTTCAACTCACCTTTCATTAAAATTCACCAAATAATACCTTCTTCTATTGTCTCAAAGCCCTTTGTTGTGACATTAACGCCAATGGGATTTATTACACGGTAGGTCAGGCTTGACTGACCTTCTGATTTACCGATTGGACAGAAAGTTAATGCTCACACGATTCAGGGTCACGTACTGAAAGACTAATAAACACCTACTTTTAATAACTGAATGCGACCGTACTTTGGATAAAAAACTTTTCATGTTATAGAATTGTTATTTGGAGGTTTGTCTCCAACTGAAAAACTGCCCAGCAGAAGACAAATTATTTTGTTACTGCCTCTCGTTATTTGTATGTCTACACATTCGTTATGAAAAACGAAATTTTATTGACATTTATCAAAAATGCGAGGTGTAAATTAATGAACCACTTTACAGCGAGGACAAGAAACTTAGCACTTTGTTAGCAACCTCTAAAACCAGTAAGTGTTATTCTCTGTTCACAAACTTTTCACATGCACCAAGAAAACCGATGCGTAGTATTCCTTGTTAGTTTTAAGGCATACATAGTCTTTTTTCGCACAAACACTGCTTCACAATGTACAAATCAAACTCAGTTTTACCTATATGCCGAGGAAGCACTTAAGAAAATTTTCACGCTGTTTCGTGATTGAGTTACACAGCTTCGCACACTCTTCATGGGTCAAGTAGTCTCCTCCAAATGAGCCTTTTCAAGCAGAACTCGGTCACGTAAACGTGTAGGATAACAAGAACGCATAAAAATTCGGTTCAGACTGTACTGAGCCAAAAGATTACAATTTCTTGGCTGAGCCTATCTTTTCCTCTCGGGAGGTTCTGATCCGATTGAACAAAACACTTAGGGATCATTCATTATTTAACGATTGTGTGGGGAGGGATAGGGGTCGGAGGATTTTTTTGGGACCACGTGATTTTTAGGGGGGATGGATCGCTAACAGAGTATAAAGCGGGTGGGAGGGGGGGGGGCAACAGAAAATTGTCTGCTGATTTATCAGAATACTACAGGGCGTTATGGTAGGTAATCGAGATTATAACCAAAACACAAAACCAACATAACCAAAATCCTTCTACCCCGCCACACAAAAAAATAATTAAAAATGATTTTTTTTATTGGAATTTTTTTTATCAGCTTTTCTTCTGTTTCCTTTCCTTTTTGGCAACTTTTCTCAAAAACTACTCTGTAACAAGATAGGCTTACTGAGATGTTCAGGTATGAATGGACAAAATTCAGATTTAGTGTAAGGAATGAGAGGTTACTTGTCATGTGTCTACGTTATTAAAAACGTTACAATTTTTTTGCATATTATTAACCCGATATTACTCAGATTAATTACGAGGCCAATGTCTATCCACTTTGACTGAAAAAGCGTTAGTCAAGCAAGAATTTATCAAACGGTCCAACTATATCTCGTCCATATCTTACAGAGGATAGTGCTAAAAGCGCGCTCTGTGTGGCTGCTCAAACTCAGAATATCCTTTGATATCACCTTCTGGCAATGCGCACGGGATCTGCGCTCGAATTTATTGTAATCTTTGCAGGAATAACTGAGTTAAAATCATCTTTTTGTGTAGTATTATCTCATTGTTTTAGTATATGTTAAACTTCGCGGCGAGTTTAATATCCACCGCTAACCTCTGACACTGAGGTGAATACATTATATTGATTCCTGTTATTTTTACTTTAGGCGTTATCTATCATCTCTGTCTCCAGCACAACAAAAGAAAATTCACAGGCGCACGGGAGAAATTGAAAGCCGGAGAAATAACGTTATTGTAATAGTTACATATGTACTGAAATAAGTACATATATGCTATGGAACATTTTTCAATAAGTGGATGTCTCAGCCGTTAGCTTCAACTGAGTTTCACTTGTTAACACAATTGAGAACGACCAATAGCCTCCGTTTTAAAATTGATTCATCTCTTCAAAATCAGAGCAAATACTTTTTAAATAGTTTTAATAGTTTTACTGAATCCAAAAATTCAGTGCGAATACCGGTGAATTAGAGGAAAATATTAAGTGATTTTATCTACTTTGTTTCTTTTCGGACGTTTGGCTGTGGCTCAAGGGTAACACTTAGGTATTATTTTGTTTTACAGGTATCATTCCATTACAAGTTATTTCATTTGTCCGTTTTGTCTGAGTGTCAGTTAACCTATTATCTCACCTGGTTGTCATGGTTACCTCGTTTGGTAAGATTGTCTTAACAGTGGCTGCCTGGATCTCAGGGTGTCGCGGGAAAAGTTTGACGTGACTGAAGGCATCTTATCTACTAAGATGTGAGCATGCGCAAGGAATATTGCTTAGTTTCACTTATATTGATGGTCGGAAGCCTCTCTAAAAAAACCAATGATGCAGTGAAAAAAAAAATGATAAAATCTTCTTCCTCGTCTCTTATAAAGATAGCCATTTCATCTATCAATTACGAAATTATTGATGGTTATCTTCTTATTTAATGTGCTTACTCACCGTATACGTTATTCATCAAGCTGAGCGACAGTTTAGAGGAAAAAAATGCGATTGACCTACATCTTGGCATTACAAGAGTTTGCAGACCCTGGTTTGGATGTCTTAGCTGGGATTTAACACACTTATACGAGGGGGGCTCATCACAGAGTTTGTCCCTGTTCGCCTTATAGGATCAAACAAGACAAAAAGAATACCAGGGAAAAATTTTCTCTATGGTTCGAGGGCTTGCGGAAATACCTCTAAAAACAGTGAACTGTAATTAATCTCGAGCTGCAATTGACTATCACAAACATTACGTCATAAGTTATTGCTCACAGAGTTTATTCAGTTCAAACACTTTCAGATGAAATTCTAACTATAATTCGAACAACTCTCATTCAACACACGCCCTGTATAAATTGTCTTTCCTCTGGTCAACCTGTTCCTACTTTCGAGAAAAAAAAAAGGAAATTTGCTTAATTTCCATGACACGATAGTTATTTGTATTTTCACTTATTTTTATCTTGTTATCCCCTTCAGGTACTAAATTCACGCAGTTCATTGTTATGAGCATTAAAGAAGTGAGTGCAAATCACACAATAGGCTTTTGTCTTACATTAAGGTGAATTAGTGTCTTCAATGCTAATTCGCTATGAAAATATTGGACAAGCTAACATTACTTTCAGACTCTATTGTCACCATGGTTGACCATGACGCGAAAGCGAATTTTAATTCATTCTCTAAAGATTTAATACAAAGGAAGTAAGTCTCTAAGGAGTATGTCCGATTAACCCCTTCGTTGAAAACAAATTGAGCAAATATGAATTGTATTTGCTTGTTTTGCTAACGGTTTCTATAGCGCTGCAGTACAGCACGACAAGAAATCAAACGTAACCTCACCATGTTGCTGGAAGCAGTTTCAAGAGGCAGACTGTACCAAGTCAAATTCTTACTTGAATCGTTTACTGAGGACGTGAACAAAGTGGATGAAAATCGTCAAACTGCGCTGATGAAAGCAATTTTTCTTCCCGACACAATGCACCGCACGCGTTACAAAATCGTGAAGATTCTACTCGACCACAAAGCGCGCGTCAACGTTGTAGACAGAGAAGGAAGAACGGCGTTGATGTGGGCTTGTATTCGCGGACAGGAAAACGTGGTCAGAAAGATCCTCGATGCTTCAATTTTAGATCTGGATTTGAACGGAGGAGACAAGTACGGCAACACAGCATTGTTCTACGCCGCAGCGAGTGGTCAAGTGAATACCGTCAAAAGACTTGTGACAGCGTTAAAACGATTTGGACTGGATATCGATAAAAAGAACGCGCAGGGAATGACACCGATATTGGAGGCCACTAAACGTGGGCATGATGAATGCGCACAAGTGCTGATGACCGAAGGTAAAGCTTCTCTAACAATTAGAGATCCTGAAACGTTTCTAAACACCAAAGAATGGGCTGAAAAGCGTTCTTTGACGAACTTATCGGAACTGATTGCACGAAGAAGCCCCTCGCCGCAACTTGCGGTACAGAACGTTGAGAACGATCCGGAGCTCGACGATCAGATCTCATCGGCCTCAGATTTGGAAAATAAGAACACTCAGAGGAACCTTGCTAATGAGAGCGGTAACGCTAATGAACAAGCAGCACCTTCGCCGCAACAAAGACGAGGCTCAGTGTCGGATAAAAAGATGAAAGGGCCAACGGACACACTTCCTTCGTCATGGCAGAGCCGAAGTACACCACTGATGGCAGAAAATAAAAAAGAGGGATCCGTTTCCCCAAGGAGTTCCACCACAACTGTATCTTTAACTAGAAGAAAAAGTGAACTCTTTGAAAAGACTAAAATTGGTGCGGCTGCCATTACGGCAAAATCAGAAATGTGTCGGCTTCTAAGCTTGTATGGTATTCAACACTCTGAGTCCTACAGGCAGAGTTTCGACCCGATACTTCTACCTCCGAGTGGATACTGGCCAGATCCACTGGCTCATCTCAGAGACAACACTTCATCCGTAGCGGATGACGATTTAGAGTCGAATTTTTTAGATGTCCTCCGACCACGCGGATCAGGTCGTCGGAGATCTTCGGCTTTTCCCGGAGCCCCTGACATGGGTCGTCGTGGGAGCAGTGTCGCCGGTCGAAGAGGGTCGATGATGCCCAACGGATCCGGTATGGGAATGGGAAAGAGAGGTTCTATTGCTCCATCATTGATGTCGATAGGGGGAGGTAAAAACTTTCTGGAGGCTCCAGGACTTCTAACGTCGCGAAGAACGACGCTATCTGCAAACAATACAAGGGGGACGACATCACTCAGCCCTTTCGACAGGAGGGGCTCACTTATGCCGAGAGGAAGTGAACAGACGAGACCGACGCTCCCTCGCCGGATAACTACGCACATAGCAGTTGGATTAGGGCACATACAGGAGAGCTAGAACTGATTTGAAAAAAATAGTCCTTGAAAGAACTGCGAATGATCAAATCGATGTTAACTATTCAGTGATGTCCTCTCAAGAAAAAAAATCCGAGTTAATCAAGTCACGTTTTTTTTAACCGAATGGCTTATTTCCACTGTGTTGTTCAAGAATTACTCATGTGGATCGCAGTTTCCATTAAAAATTGTACAGTAATCCTGAAAAGATTATTGCTTTTGTTAAAACATTCTACTTAAGCTTGTCACCTACTAATTGACTAAAAGAGTGCTTTACTCTTTCATTTTATGAGCGCTAGACAACACAAAGATTCTTTGAATGCAGTCCCTTTTTTCGGCGAAATCTGTTGCGCAAGTCAAAAAGAAAAACGAAAAAAATTATCGTCAGCGCGCTGAGCAAGAACTCTGGAAGAGATGCAAGCCTACTTTTCGTGCACCTCACCATAGTTCCGCGCGGCGTATTAACATCCTTTTTTTTCCACATGAGTTCGCGCGACGAACTTCGCCCGAAAGGGAGGGAATGCTCGTAATCCAACCCACAGACTTCAGATTCACGGCTCTGAAAACTTGCGACAACGAAAATGTAAAATAATATCTCGATTAAACGAAAAAAACAAACAAACAAAACAAAAATTTTAAAGATCAATAGTTCGTTTATTCCAAATACACAATTGTTTTTAAAGTACATTGTTTAACAGCCATCTTTCACAAAGAAAAAATAAATCCTTTCCTCAAATTACCAAACAGCAAACGAAACCATCCGTGAAAACTTTATCCAGCTTTTTATTAAGATTAATAAACATTCACCTCCAAGAAGACACAATAAGGAAATAACAATAACATGAAAAACAAATCAAATACGCCCAGGAAATGTGCCACTTTCCATTTGATCATCCCAGCTTTCCACCTGCAAAAGTAACATAACTTAAATCAATATTACTCCTTGAAACATAACAAAAGGTTTCAAAAATTGAAAGTATAGATTTCTTCTGTAATGTTAGAGCCATAACTTATTTCCTAATTTTATTTTGGGCTACACTAACAGAACAACCAAGAAAGCTATGAAATAAAATTGATTTTACTCAATTGAATTTGAACCCCCCAAGTACATGTACCTAGAGGATTAGAAAATGCGTCTAGGTGAAAATTTGCTTGTTTACAGTGGAACACTTATCATCTTTAGTGCTGATTTTTAATTCAGCTAAGTTGAATTTTGCTCCCTTTATCTATGATGATGGTTTGGAATGTACAATGAAATAATTTTAATAAAAAGGGGTTTCATAATGTTTTATTCCAAATAAAATAATCAATTTTAAAGCTGCATTACTTTTGAGTTTGAGGGTTTCATACCCTTTATCAGGAACAAATTTCAGGGAATTTGCAGGACTTTTCCAGGACTCAAGATTTTTTTTCCAGGACTCCAAATTTCACCTTAAATCCTTTCATTCCCAAGATTTCAAAATCATTTCTCCTTGCAGTCTACATACATTTCTTACAACATAAATTCTGAAAACATTATTGCTTGAATCAAGCAGATTTCCAGGACTTTCCAGGACCTGTATTCTTTTTCCATGACTTTTCCATCCAGGAAAATGTCAAAATGAATTCCAAGACTTTCCAGGACCCATATGAACCCTGGTTTAAATTCAGCTTGATGAACCAACAAGTAAAAAGCATGGCACTTGTACATGATTCAGTTAGGCATGCAAATGGAATTAGAACAAATTACACACATTTGATGAGCATGTATAGCAGTAGATGCACAACCTACACCTGTGAAGCATGGTCCAATAATCTATCATCATTGATTGCAATGCATGCTTGTTATTAAAAGTCTTGAAAAGGCAACAACTTCAATTCAATAACTTGAGCTTCCTAACTTACCCAGGGACCAGGGCATAAGGATTTGTAAGTCTTGAAAAAATACTGACATCTGCTTTCTTCCTCTCCAAACTTCTTTATGCATCGATGAAAGTCCACATAGTTCTGCCAGCAGTTCTTTGTCTGGTTGGTGTAAGGGAATCTTGCATCAAAGGGAGCTGTCTCCAATTTAAAAGTCTTAGGGTCAAAGTGTTGTTCAACATTTTCTGCCATCATCTAAGCTGTACCCTACAAATAAGTTTCAGTTCAAGATTGAAGTTAAAACTTTGCTTGGAAAAAGTGACAAGGCTATAATGATATACGTTAAACAGACAGCACTTTTCAATTAAAAAGAGATTTACGTCATTTGCAATACCACACTCATTTAAAAATCCTACTAAATGCACTATTGACATGCATTTTCCAACACACTGTCAGAATAATTTTTAACAAAAAGCTGCTTTCTGCACAAAGTAATATTTGTAAGTGATATGAATCATGAAATGATGGCAACATAGGAGAAGTATAGGAATATCTGCTCTCTAACATACATGAATATTGCAGCGCCCAGTTTTTCATGCCACTGAAGCTTGTCTTAGATAGTACAAAGCAACTAGAAACATTTATTCTCTCCCTGAATGCATACAAAATCTGCACAAGCTATTCCTCCTTCCCTAACAAGCATCTTGTTAGGTCTTCCTGCATAATTCACAGGCAGTCCTGGATGAAGGAGAAGCACCACAACAGGAAATTTTCCAACAGGACCTCAGTATACCAAATGTTATGCCCTGTCTTAACATAAAACTTTAGCATCTCATATAGAAAAAGGTAAATGTCCAAATGGATGCCTTCTTAGCCATTGTCAAATAGAGAGAACTCACAAGGTCATGTAAAAATAGCCTTTAGTTTAACTACCTAACAGGCCATTAACTAAGTGGCGACACGTTCCCAGTGTATCAAATATATAAAATTGAGCCAACAAAGACTAGTGAAGAGTTGTTAATTGTGGTATTCCCATAGCTAGGGCATAGTTGTCTTTTACTATGTTTAACCTTTGAAAGTCTAAGCTGACACTTCAGTAACAACTGAATTTGAGGAGGCTTTCCTTGATACAAACTTCCCCTACCATCCTTTTTATTAACCCTTCAACTCCTAGAAGTGATTAAAATGTCACTTCTCCCTATAATAACCATACATTATCCAACAAACAGGTACTGAGAATATTTAAACTTGTACAATAGAAGTTGTCTTGATCTAACACCAAATTCTTGTAACCAATTTAAATGGCAATGTGTAGCAGCTAAAATCAGATCTTAGGAGTTCAAGGGTTAAAATACCTGTGCCCTACTACAATATAAACTTGACTCACTGGTGACTTGACATGTAAGAGAAAGTTCAACAATGTTTTTAACAAGTATGACACTTATCCAAAGCTTACTAAGATAATCAACATAATGACATCCCATACTGTCAAGTCACGCTAACTCTTCCACCTTGTTTTCACCATGACATTTAACTGCTTTTCCTAATAACCTTATCGATAGATTATACCGAGATGTATGAATAATTAAACTAGAAAGAAAATCATTTTATTTCAATTAGTATATTTTGAAGAGTTACCATGCCTTTCCCAATATTAACTGGCATGACTGGTGTGGAGTTAACATTACAAGCGTCATCGAAACTTCGTGAGACATTGTTTTAATCAAATGAAAGTGATGTGAATTAAGGTTCGATAAGTGTAATACTTAAGTACTATAGGTACTATTTTATTTAAATGTTTTCAGTTATATTTTTGCGATACTGTAAAATATTGCAGTCATGCAATCAAGCAATTTACAACCTCAAACAAACAACGCTCCATAGAACCTCTAGAAACTTGATCATACGACTACACAACTGACAAAATGCTTCTTAATTAATTCACGACCGATAAATTTTACTAACCTTTCCCAAATAGCAAAGATTGTGTATGTAAAAAGAAGTACAATCACAAGCCGGGTCCTCTTTTCTCTTCCACTGCCGCAATCAAAGATGGCGGATTGGTCCTCTGTAATTGCCTCAATTATTGTTGTACCCTCTGGGGTAATTTTACCCATAATGCATCGTAGCACGCGTGTGAGTCATTTTCATAATTACTCGATTGTGACGTTTAGTACGTGAGACATTTCTTCTAAGTCACAGAGAAAAACGGACTTTCTTTCCCTTTTCTAGACGTATGACAAATTCTAAAGAGATGATAACAAGTTGGAATGCAAAGGAGTTAGCTGCTGCCGCAAATTGGTTAGAAAATATGTCTCTAGATTGGATTGTTTTAATGACGGTTGAAATGCCTTGCTTGGGTGGATAAATATTTCACAGCCCTTTGTTTTCACTACTGAACCATTACCTACTATGTAGTTAGAGATAGATCTGGCCATGTTTCTGGTGATGTTTTTTGCCCATCATTCGCATCTTCGGTTTAGTACTTGAGCTTACGAAAGTCTTCCTTCCTCTGGTGATTAGTCCTTTCAAAAAATGATAATTTGCATTTTGCCTAGACATCTTTAAATTATAAGTGACAACCATCTTTATTTCCGTCGTTTCAAGGTTATGACAATAAACAAAACGATTCCGTGAGTGTTCAATGCAGACAACATGATTTGGAATGTAGTATCTTGAACACTGAAATGTTCCTTTTTTGTTAAAAACCCCTTTGAAACAATCTCAGTGATAATTCACTCAACGGGTTTTGTCGGAATGAGATGAATTATATTTGTTGCGGATTTAGTTGGAGTACTTTTTTAGCGGATAGATATCAAGGAATAAGTCTTGATACACAATATGAAAGAAGTACTCTGAACCCAAATCAGCCTCAACTTGTTTGGATAATAATATCTTTGTGCCAAGCAATCCTTCCAGTTTTGACAGCTTAGTAAAAGGTGATAAATAGATATTGAGAGAACATTTTACCTCCTAAAGAAACTGTGCAGTCTGCTATTTTGATAGTCTTTATGGACATTTGTAGGACTGGTTTGTAAGAGATTGTGTTTTTTTGAAGGATATTGTGAAGTAAAGCAGTTGATTATTTCTCAGGGGCTTTTGTTTTGGGTGAGGGTTGAGGAATGACCTTTCTCTATTTAAGTATTCAGCTACCTTCTGAAAATGCTCTTTGAAGTTTCTCCTTCACAATTACTTATTGAAATTCCAAGGATGTGATCATGAGTTGTGTACAGAGATGACATATACATACACAGACTTCATTGAGCATTTCTGGAGGGTTTTTCAGCATCAATATTGAAATACAGAAAATAGTTAAATAACAGAAAAATATCATGCGCCCAAACTTATTTAAATGTTTCTTCAAGACTTTTGTGTCTTTTATTTGGTTCCAGTTCTTGTTCAGGCTGTTCCATATTTTTACACTACAATAATAAAAGGCACACTGAGTGGCAGCAATTCTGCAAGATTCTTGTCTGTCTGTTATGAATGATAGATTATGTTCAAAATTTGTTTCACAATTAGCAAGGTGACAGACCATTGAGACATTTGTGCCACATCTCCTACCCCTAGGAGTATTCCTAGATGGAACTAAACAATAAATGAACCTGCACTAACTATAACTCACTTTTTTCAGGTCTAGACAATATCAACCTGCAACACATGGTAACAGTCATGAAAATCATGAGAATACTGAGTCAAGTGAGGTATTGAAACAGTCAGAGACACCAGAATGGGAAAAAGCAAGGCAAGCATTAGCCAAAATGAACCCACAGATTTCTAAGTCACCTGTAAAGTCTTCAACCAAAGCTAGCAATAGCAACCCTAGCGGTATGACTTCCACCATCCAGCAGCAACCAATGATGTACCAACAGTACTATCAACAATATTATCCACCATGGAATGGTTATAACTATCAGTATCCTTATACAGGTTATATACCACCTTATTCTATGCCTCCTTCACAGCCAAATGTACCTCCACCTCTAGTAAGTGTTTTTGTTCATGTTTGTTTGTCTTTTGCAGTGGTAACAAAAGTGATAAAAGGCTTTTTTATATATTTGACAAGCCAAATTTGGACATAAATTTAATCCTCCCCCCCAAAAAAACTGTAAGGCCATTTTTCTGAGTGGCTATTTCTCTTCGTTGTTAGTTACACATGTGTCAATTTAGCATTTTACTTGCTTTAACACCCATGGTAGAATGACATTATAATCAATTTTTTTTCTAAATGAGCATAGTGTGGTTGTATACATGTATATATATGTAAACACTATTTGATATTGTATGCCTCTCTCTTTTAGCCCTATCAACCATCACCTCCTTCAGTACCTTCATCAACAGCAAGCAGCATAAACTCAACTGAGAACATAAATACCACACCAACTGAACAAACAAGTGACCAGAACACCTTACATGAGCACACGAAACTCAGTACTTATCAGCCAAGGCAGCATTGGCAAACCAGAAATCAGCAGCATGCTCCATATTCACCTCAAAATGAAAAGGTGAACTATAAAATTTATGTTACCTATTCCATGTACTTTTTCCAGTGAAAAGGTGTCCAGGTACCAAACAGGGAGTAAATTTTTTTTTTCTTTGACATTGCTTACTTTACTCAGTAATGCTGTGACTTATTAGAGAACCCAATAAAGCAAGATTGCTCCTTGTGGTATTCCATTTAAAATTGTGCCTTTTTGGATGTTAATTTCTGTTTTCAGCCATATCATTTATGTTTTTTTGTATCATGATGTTCTACAGTTGTGTATTTGTCCTCACTTTAAGGTCATTTTCATTTTATCTTTAAAACAGTCTTTACTCTAAAACCTCTTTAGAATACAATTTTCATGGATTTCAATATAAATTTTGATATTTAGGAGGAAAATAACAGAGAACAAGAAAGCAGGCATACTTTTGTACCTCGGCAGCAACGTAGTTCCTATGCTGATGCTTTAAAGCACCAAAATGATGAAAACAGCAGCAGAGAGCAAGGAAGCAGGCATACTTTCATACCACCACAGCAAAGAACGTCCTATGCTGATGCTTTGAAGAATCAAAATGATGAAAACAGCAACAATAATAAACAATCATTTTGGAAACAATCTAATCAGTCAAAGTGGAACCCAGGCTAGTAAACTCCATAGCTTTTAAAGAGTTATCCCTGATTGTCTGACAAAACCACTCTTTCATTTTAAACTGAAGGATACACACACACACACATACATAAGTAAACCTCAGCTGATCAAAACAAGTGAAAACTCTTACAGTGGTTGTCATTAGACATTTTATTTGAAACAACATATAGATAGGATAACTCTTATTGCAAATAACTTCTTGCCTTCCCACCAGAAATTGCCAACTGCATTTGTATATTAGGGGGAGAGTGCTTGGCATAACTTTTCAGTATCATTTTCTTTACTTGGACTGTGATAGAATTTTAGTGTGGGTTATATGTCTCTAGAGAGTCCCAGAAATTGATCAAACTTTAGAATCCTGACAACAACGGAGCAGGAAGTGCTGAGTTGAATGATTGTTCTCTTGATCTTTTTTCACTCAGCACTTTACAAAAATTTTGTAAAAGGTCATGAAAAGTAAAGGAATTTCGTATTCTCAAAAAGAACTAATCCTGAAAATGTTTGATTATGCCATTTCAACTGTTGACATTCAAGTACTGAACTTCATTAGGTTGCTATTTGTTAGTTACAAACTACAAGTATCCATTTTGCAAAGGTTATGTTGTTTTTATCATTTTAACCCACAGGTGGAAATTTGAATAATAATAGTTTTTCGTCACCAAATGCAAAGAAATTTAGACCATCTTTTGAGAGAAGGGACAGTCTTTCACAAGATGAACGTTCAACACCTTTGCAGACAGAGCCTCCAAAAAAAAGAAGCCCTAATAGGAAGCAGCAACAGCCGCAACACCAAGAGCAACAGCACATGAGAAAACCAGAGAGACAAAAATCCCCACCCAAAGAGGATACCAGGTTAGTTATGCTTGTACTTCACCAATACTTTCATGTAAAATGTGTAACAGGATACCTTGGGTTGCCCCTTGTAAATGTGTACTTTTACTTTTGTAGAGATGAACCCTCACTGTCAGCTCAAGAGTGGCCACCAAGTTTGAGGTATGTTTCTGTTAACATGAACCTTTGATATTTTTGTATTCTCTTGTATTGTTCTTAGGGGACCTTTAGAAGAAGTGGAATCAGGAGTGGTGGCTTGCCATATTCAGACTCTATCGATTTTCTGCCACTCTGCTATTGTCAACATACTAACATTATCAGTGGAGTGAGGTGCAAAAAATGTTTGATGTCTGGGTTTTGATTGTAAAATAAGGTTGTTGTCAGTGGTAACCTTCCATGTTTCCAATAGTTCATAAACAACTCCCAAGAGCCACGCAACCAACTTTAAAATGTGAAAGCTTGCCCAAAGAGGGAAATGACACTTCACTGGAAACTGAGCCAGTTACTATGAGAACATCACATTCTAACCTTAAAACATGGTGGTCAAACTTCTGTCACACCTCACTCCAAGTTTTGCATACGCTATTTGTTGTCTGTCATATTAGTAGAAAGCCAAGAGGTACAGGAATCAATATTTGCTAATTTATTGGCTAGAAGTCATTTTTTTGCTTTCCTATTCTCTGATGAGTGCCTCACCGAAATTCAATCAAACTTTAGGATAGTCTCAAAATCTCAATGGAATTATAAAGTTCTTTGTTATTTCAAAATAGGGAATATGTGCAGAGAGCATTTGAGAAGTGTGAAACAGAATCTGATAAAGATCAAACAGAACAGTTCCTGAAGAATATGCTGACTTCACACTTCAGAGATGGCACAGCTTGGGTAGTTGACTGGGACAAAGAACCTTTGCCAAGGTTAGAAATGTGTTTTAAAGAGACTCTTAGGAGCCTCTGACTGTGAATATTGAGAATCTGTCTACAGATGCAAAATTCTGTAGTGCATTCCATTTTTCCTGAAGGGCTTTTTATCAAATAGTTCTGTCACACTGTGTTTTCTCCGAAAATGGAAAAGTTCAAAGTATACAAAGATGGCTGTTGTCTCCCTTGTCCCCCAGGTCAATAAAAATTATGCAACATCAGCAACTTCATAGAAAAGAAAATTTGATGAATTAAACTACAATGCAAGCTTTAAAATGGCATACATATATATGTATTGATTTCTAAATGTAAATACCAGAATTTTTCATAGGCCTTGAAATAGGTGAGGCAACTGTTCATTGGTTGGCATTGCATTTTTGTTATTAGCCCAAACTCTTTTCAACCTGGACATGTGGCTGAGGTGGGCTGAAATAGAATATTGGAGGAATTAAACCACAAGGATAAGTCCTGAAGATGATGTATATTATGATTTGTAAATATACATGGCAGACCTTGTTATAGGCCTATAAAGTTGACCTTTATTTTACTTGTGCAAAAAGACACAAAGTATATTATTTCAGTGGGTCATAATTCAGACTTAAAATTAACAACATGAAAAGAAAATTTATATTTTCAAAAAGATAAAAGGACCATTTGCTAGCACATAAAAATTTCAAAGCAGGAATGCATCCTGTTGTGGCATAGGAAGGTGCTAAAATTGCATAATTTTTCATTGTTTAACAGGGAAACAACAGCCATCAAGGTGTACTTTGAACTTTTTTATTTTTCTTGGAAAGCAAAGCTCAACAGTATGTTTTGATATAATTCTTGAAAAAGGCTCATCAAAAGGGTCCTTTAGGAAAAATAAGATGAATTAAGAGATTTTGCAACTGTTGGCAGATTCTAGATATTTACAGTCAGTGGCTCTTAACTTTTTGTTGTTTTTATTCCCTCGATTAAAATAACTAGTGTACATACTTGTTTGGTTTTTATTTTTTACTCTCTAAGTTCCAATTTAAATGTTTCCTTTCTGAAGGCAATCAGATAATATTATTACTTAGTTTTCCTGAGAAAAGAAAGTGCTTTTGTTTAAAGTAGCCAAAATTTAAAGCAAGAATGAACCCTTTTACTCCAGAGATCTGATTTTTTATTCTCCCCTCTAGCTGCTGCACCTGTCCTTGCTAATTAGTTCTGAGAATTTAATGTTTGATCAATTAGTATTGTTGGTTGATAAGTTTGATTATTCTCATAACCTGTTTGCTGGATAATATATGGATAATGTGCCTTAGGGAGAAGTTACATGTGGATTAATTTAATCCAACAGTCTGAGGAGGTCGCCCCCAGAAGATAAAAAACTCCCTAGATGGCATCCTTCAAGGAGGAGGTCGCCACCTGTTCCTCGAAGAAGAAGGGAAAGGAGCAGGAGTTTATCACGTTCTAGAAGTGGCAGTAGGAGTAGAAGTAGGAGTAGAAGCAGAAGTAGGAGTGTTAGTCCTGATAGCAAGACAAGGACAAAAGCATTTGATCCTAAACGACTTGGAAAGAAATTGCCCAAAACTAAAGGAAAGGGAGGAAAACCTCAAAAAGGGAAGAAGAATGCTAAAGGGTGAGTAGTAATAAGCGAATCCAATTGTTTTTTCATTTCGCACTCCTGACTCCTGTGTACAATGTATAGTCCTGCCACCATAATAAACAGGACTGCCTTGCACTTTTGTTAAATTGTTTTGATCCAAGTCAAAGTGTATATGCTTGGCAGTTCATGAGAACCGTTTGTATTTGTTTGTTGCAGGCCACAAATAGCAAATTACAATGCAACTGCTGACCCAAAAGCTCAGGAAAAGATACAGAAACGTGCAGAGAGATTCAAGTCAACTTTAGCCCCTCAAAGGCCCATGGCAACTAGTATTTTAAACACCATCCATTCTTTGGTAAGAGTTGCCTTACATTCCTTTAGTAAAATATCATAAAGCATATGTATAGTGCAGCTCAAAGATAAAAGAAGCAAAATATTTGTGTAAAAAGTGCCTGGTTAGTGTAGAGGACCAAACACATACTAGTCTTGCCAGACAAGCATACATGACTACTCTCAAGTGCATTTGAGTAATTGGTGCTAGCTGATTGTTCTCTTTGTTGTGAAACAGTCTTTATTTATTTCAATAGGTATTGTATCTGTAGTCAAAACTGGTGGTTAAAGTGCACCAAATGTCTGTTGATCATCTTGAGTTTCTTCTGGCTATGTTTGTTTGTTCATCACTATGGTCCTGTTAACTACACACAGTTTTTACTGGTCAGCAAATTTTCATAAAGGTTTGCTTGCCAAGAAATGGTGCAGTACCATAGGGTGCAACATACTTTAAAGGAGAAAGGATGTCTTTAAAAACATATTATTTTGTGCCTAACAACATCTAAGAACCTATATCCTCAGTGTTCTCTCTGTATACATGAATGGCTTTTCCTTGTTTGGCTATGATCTATATGTTCATTGGTTCAATTGTGCTTACCAATAGGGTTTGTTTTTTATTCATTTGTCTTTCTAATTTTAGTCATTTGGTGAAGATGGTGAAGAAATGGATTGGAGCAAATATCATGTAGTTGGAACATGTGAAGACTTAGAAAAACCCTACCTCAGGCTTACTTCAGTGAGTTTTATTAAACATTTAAGTGCACCCTTCAATTCTACAGTTGTCTCTTTGTTCTGAATTTTCATCAACCCTTTTAAAAAAATTGTTAGGTTGAAGGCTGTGTGGAAATAATTCTTTAACTTACATTCAGTTGAGTAAACATAAAATTTGATAATAGTGTAACCCTATAATAAACATTACCTATTTTGCACAATTGTGCATTGATAGAAATGTCTGGAACTCATCTAGGGATTGAAACACTTTCACATTTACCTGTCTGTTAGAGTCATGTTTGGAACTATGGCAGTCAAACTGCAGTTGCAATTTATAACCATTGTGCTAGTTTGCACTCCTGTGCATGTCATGTGAAACTTTATGCCAATATAATACATGTCATACCTCTTTGAATTGTTTTCAGCTGAAATTATGGGTACATATATGAATATTCTTAGTGGCCTGGAGTCTTTGAAATCACACTTTACATGCCGTTTCTTAATAGGCACCAGACCCGTCCACTGTTCGTCCAGTTGAGGTACTGGGCAAATCTATGGAAATGATCAAAAACCGTTGGAAAGAAAAGCAAGACTACACTTATGTTTGTGAGCAACTTAAGTCTGTCCGTCAGGATCTCACTGTAAGTACATTGAATATGTGTTTTGATTTGAAATACAGTCCAGAGAGGGTGACTGTGAAATTTTCTGTGATAGGTGCAAGGGATTAGAGATGCTTTCACTGTACAAGTCTATGAAACTCATGCCAGGATAGCCCTAGAGAAGGTAAGAACTTGCTACAAGGAAAAATTCATTGTAAATAACTAACACATTCTGTTAACATGAAATTGACCAGTTTCATAGGTTTACATTCAATGGGAAGCTTTCTGATACAAAAACTGTTCTGATAAATTGTTTTTGCTAATATCACTTGAACTTCTGTGAAGTTAATTGTTCAAGATAAGGGACAGGAAGAATTACATACAGTAATGTTATTGACAGATGCAGTCGTAATATTTTTGATTAAAGGTAACATTTAACATTTATTGCAGGCCAATGCCAATTCATGTTATTCAGGTGATAACTATCATTTTCGACCTTTCAGGGAGACAGAGAGGAGTTCAACCAGTGTCAGACACAGCTGAAAGCCTTGTATGCTGAAAATTTGCCGGGAAATGTTGTAGAGTTTACTGCCTATAGACTGCTTTATTATATTCTCACAAAAAATACATTGGGTATCCTTGATTTCACGTATAGTCTTATTTCATATATACAGTCTCAATTGTGGTGTTTGTTGACTGAGTGGCTTGCTCTGGGGTGTCTTGTGTACATAGAAGCAAAAGGTGGCATTGTAAGCTTGCACTTGTTCACCAAGCTACTGTCTGTGACTTGAATTTAAGGGGGCATGGGAGAGTGGGAAAGGAGAGGCAAGATGGCCTCCACACATTCTTTCACCACAATTTCAAGGCTAGTATTTTGAATCTTGAAGTTCGTTCTCAAGATGCAAAAATCCCGTTTTCTTCAGAGTTGTGTCCAGTTGAAGGTGCAACTTCAGTTAGTTTATATGCATATAATCAGACTTCTAACCGGCTATGATTCAAGACTCAAGAACAAAGGAAAAGGCTTTATACTTAGTGTTAACGGAAAGCAAATGATCCTAGGGTATTTTTATGTTTCTTTCTGCAACAATTTTGTTATACCTACAAGTAAACTGATTGCAGTGACGTCTTCCTTGACTGTAGGTCTCAGATCTGACAACAGCCTTGGCTCATTTGACAAAAGAAGAGAAAGCGGACCCGGCAATAAAACACGCATTATTAATACGTTCAGCTTGGGCTTTGTCTAATTATCACACTTTTTTCCAGCTCTACTTGAATGCACCCAACATGTCAGGCTATCTATTAGATCTCTTTGTACAGCGCGAGAGAGTCCAAGCTCTGAGGGCCATGATCAAATCGTGGGTTGTTTTTGTGTGTTATTTTCTGGGAAAATGGCGATCTGTTCATTGGTTAATTTTGAATTTTAAAATGCACTATTTGTTTCTTAAGAAAAACCTATTTTCAATTAAGGTGAAATTGGTCATTTCCACTGGCTGCTGTTCTAGTGTAATTTGTAAGGAAAGGCAAAAATGAACCGATCGTCAATCTCATTTCCCAGATATTTTAGAGCATTTTTTTCTGACTTTGCCGATACTCGAGCTGATGTTTTCCACATTCAATTTGTGTTCAAACCTCCACACATTGTCCCTCTGATTTGTTAACTTGAGGAGAATTGTGTTTGCCCCTTTTTTTCTAGTGTTGTGGTCTAAGTCATAAAAACATGCCCTAAGATGATGCATGATATACGATTGTTTGTGTGTATTGTAGTAGTGTCATCGTTGTTTCTGCGGTTACCTTTTTAGTCATGTTTGTGCCTTCGGACCTAAATTCGAAGGATTATTGTATGTAGCTATGAGTTCAATATTTTCCTGTGCAAGGCCCAGGTGTCATTAGGGTGTAAAACATTAGTAATGCTAAACCTTCACAAACTTTCATCGCACTGTGGTCATGTGATTTCCCAAAATTTTCCCACTGTGCTTACATCTTTTTGGCCTTCTTGCAAAGAGTAGCATTTACCTATTTTCTTGGAGGGTATTTCCTTCGATCCTATCGTTTACACTTATATTAAAGCGCATTTTTCTTGCGTGCGTTATACTTTGTCCTGTCAAAAAAAAAGACGTGTATTGGAGGAATTATCCATGGAATTAGTGGGATGTGAAAGTTGGCACTGTGAGAAATTGCCGTATTTTGTATGGAAATGCTGTAAAGCATGGACATTTCATGGTTTTAGTTGTTGAAATGATGTTCTAACTTGTTATTTTAATTTCTTTACTCCCTTGTGCTTTCCTACTCCTGTCTCCTGCTGTGCTGTGTGTGCCGCAGATACCGTCCCACTATACCTGCCTCCTTCGTTGAATCCGAGTTAGGTTTCACTGAAGATGGGCAGTGTCTCAAGTTCTTACAAGATCTAGGCGTTATCTTCACCGCAGATGATACCAAGATCGACTGCAAGCTCTCCCAGGGAGTCCTGACAGCGAGCTGACCTGTCCCGTCCCGTTCCGTGTCAACCCGTTCCGTCAAGTCTTGGATTAGTTAGGGAAAAGCAAATTTGATTTTAGGCGAATATGCAGTAGGCACTCTTTAACTCTAGGCCCACTTCATATTTGCGACCAGGTGTTTCTGTTGGTATAGGCAAATGTAGGTCAACTTTTAACTAATTTATTCTGTAAATCCTTCAAGAATTCCGTGAGAACTCGCAGAAAGCTATAAAGCGAGTGTATTGATTAACGCATCACCCGTAAGTATTGTACTGAAGTATTTTCTGGCCGTCCAGTTTGTGAAGAGATTGGTTACGTACCGTATGTGCAAGTTGCTGATGTTGCTGTTCCCTGACTGCTCTCGTTTGTCAGACTTTGTCTTTTTCAGGCCACAACAAGCAAGAATGGAAATAATCTTCCTCAAGACTGGTCTGTATATCAAGTTCAAGAAAATTAATAATTCAAAAGATGTGTATTTATAGACTATTTCACAAATAAATCTGAGATTTTTACTAATCAGCTGTAATCAATCTTCTCCTTGTTTTATTGTTTCCAACTTGATTACTCAGCTTTTGACAAAAATTAACGTTATGTAACGAGAATCTCAGACCTGATCTTCATTTCTCCACAATAGCTCTTCAAACCATTATTAATGATCCTGCAAGATTAATAATCATGCGACGCGGGGTGAGGGAACAAGGCGTCTCGAAATCAACTGAGGAGATGGTGTGCTCTTCAATAAGACATCAATTTTAGTGCTAGAGAAGTCGGAAAGGGTTGTTCCACCCTTATCTACCTCTCTTCTCTTAACGGCCTACGGCTAAATGTAATTTCATAAAAAGACGCTACATACGGCCCGTGAATGCTAAAAAATATCCCAAATGCGCCGATTAATATTTATTTTCACTTAATTGAGATATACAGACCGAGAGTCAATTTAGATGTGCAGTTTTAGAGCTTCAGTCATAACCCTTATCCATTTAGTTCGTCTTATGTCAACAATCATAGCGTGGTCTGCCTGTAACGTAACATTCAGGACAGTGCCAGACTACTCGCCCGCGAGTTGTCCGTACAATCCTTGATACCTTTATTTTGCTCAAGTCAACTGGAAACTTCCGTGATTTTAACTGTTAACGTGCGACAAACTGATAGCCTTACAACTTCATGTCCCCATTTCCCACTGAAAATCGATTTTTGGTTTCCTTCTTAAATGAGAAAATTTAAATGTGTTAGAGATTTACATGCTACAACAAGCTCTCCTCGCGACTCTGGATACTTTACCCTAACATGAGCGCGGTGACCGTAGGAGAGATCAATATTTCCTATCCCGTATCTACTCAAGTAGCTCTGTCTCTGTTCTAAGGCCCCATGAGTTGACAAAACTTTTCATAATACTGATTAATGAAACCCGAGAGTCGAAAATTCTTGCGTGTTCGTGAAAATGATATCACTTTCCACTGCCAGCAAGCCTGAACGTAGTGAAAAAAACATGCACTTACGTTTTGACTGTCTGTTAAGTCTGTAGGTAGATTAAAGTGACTTCACAAATGGTCGAGGAAGTCTTTCTAATCAATTGAGATGTGGCGGAGAAGTGCATGCAAATTTGATGAAGTCTGGCAGCAATCACCAAAACTTCAACAGTAGCTACGAATATATTGTTAACGAGGGAAGCTCTCTCTTCCTCAGCCGGTAACGTACTGGACGTGAAGTCTTGAAAATTATCACACGGGGAGCTAACTTTAGTCAACACGCGTTAATTCCCCTCAAACGATGAGTGATCCGGAAAATCGTCATTTAGTGATTCAGTTAGTGGTGAAACTTGTTATTTATACGTTGTTTTTTTTTTTTCGTGATTGGTTAACTCAACCTCATATGTACAATATTATTTTTTGACATATAAAAAGCAGTTAATGCTCTTATATTTCCAGAGAATGTTTGATACACAAGAGATTCTGTGGTGAACAGCGGGTAGACTTCGCTACGAGCGGCACCCCGTTTAATTGGCGTCAACTTCACTGATCGGAAGTGCAAGCGGAAAAAAATCTCTTCGACCCTCCAAGGCTTAGCTACAACGACATATACTTTGTCTTGTCGGTCATTTTTACAGTAACAAAGCAACAGAGCCCACGTTTTTGGCCAAAGTACAACGTTTGGCAACCGCACGTGTACGTTCATCAACAAAGGGTCGTACGGGATTACGCAAGAAGATTAATTTTAATCCTGACTGAATCACGCATTGTTTTGTTGTGGGACTTTGAATTGGCGCTCTTTTCGAACTCGTGTACGTTCAGCAAGAATAGGTCGTACGCGGTTATGCAAGAGGATTTATTTTCTCCTGACTGAATCATGCATTTTTTTTGTGGGATTATGAAGTGGCGCTTTTTTCGAACACGTGGAATCAAAGTCTGACAAAAATAAGTTCTAATATCCATTTTTTCCGTCCACTTAACCTCTAAGGGTCGTTGGAAAATGAAACGAAAAGACCAGTTCCTTCACCGTCCCTATACTCTCACAGCGCTCTCATACGCATGGGAGTATTTTTATATATGTTGAGCGTAAGGTAAACAAATGCTCAGGGGATGAGCCGCAATGTTCTAAATATAGCATCCCGTCCAGAGGAAGTGGCGATACCTTCAGTCACCTCACCATGCTTCTTTAAAACCGGATTACTATCAAGCTTACAATGCGAGATAATTTCGTTTTACATCGTTTTTACCATGCAATCAGCAAGGAAAAATTTGCAACTCGAAAACTATCCTAAACGGCAAGGCGAGTGTTTCAAAATCCAGCGTTTTAGGCACACAGCACAGGCACACATTATCACAGCAAGTGATTATGACTTTCTTCGTGTAACCGTTTTACAAAATGAGAATAAGGTCGCACTTTCTGACGCTACTGCTGCCATCTGTGCATAAACACCAATATAGAATGGAACTGATATGAATGTCACAAGTGACTCTGGGATAATTTTTCAGAATTAACAGAAGAAATTTTCGCAAATAATTCGTTTTTTTATATCGAGAAAAGAAGTGTTTGTCAAATTAAGACGAAGTTAACAAACGCAGATGATCAGCTAAAACTGTAACGTAACGATGCTGTTGAACGGTTAACCCTTTGACTCCCAAGATCTGATTGCTGATTCTCTCCTTTTGCTGTTACACAGTTCCTTGTAAATTAGTTACAAGAATTTGGTTTAAGATCAAGATAAAACCGCTTCCTGATAAGTTTTAGTATTTGCATTAACCGTTTGGTAGAAAACGTATAGATTTCATAGGGACAAGTTACATGTTAGTCACTTCTTGGAGTTAAACGGTTAAACAAATTAGAAAGATATCCTATACCTAGGGTTCCAATCAGGATTTCGCCCAGCCTCTTTTTTCAACAACCTAAAATTAATCATCTCTCCTTCTTGCTGCGTGACTGATCATGAAGATTTGATCTCGCTTATCGTAGGTTGTTATGTAACACGCACGTCCCCGTTATCGTCGCTTATGTTGTCGCGAAATAGATAAGGTCCTTAAAATTACAACAGATCATGCAAACTGAAGGATATGTCGATGAAACCTTTCTCTGAATCAAGCCAGGTTCACTCGTAACACCCTAAGACGTTTTTTGGGATGTCACGGAGCGCTGCGTGACATTGCAAGGAACATGCGTCACATCATAAATTTGTTCTGGGAACTGACGTGAGGGGTGATGCACGTGCCGTTTTTCTGGTCACGAGACATAAACCTTGGTTTACTTTAGAACTCACGCGATTACCAGACCGATCTGAAAAAAATTAATGTTAATGAAACCTTGACGATCATAATAGAATCAAGCGGGGTATTCTACAAATGCAAGAATGGAGAAAGAGACAAAAGACAAACCGCGATATCTATTGAGAGCGTTTATACACTTTAAAGGGCGGAAAAACTTAAACTCGTGTTCCTTTCTGTTTAGAATCTTAACATTGATTAGCCCCTTTAACGTTACGAGCAAAAACCGAGTGGTTAGGTTTGCCAGTCTTGGACTCCAGGGGTATTCAACGAACGGTTTCCAAAGGCGATGTTTCCCCGGCGGTTAGAATCCTTGCGTTATGACATCTCTATTATCTTCCGAATTCATGTAACCTCCACTGGAAAACTTCAACCCTTGTACAACCCCATTTTATAGACCTCGAGCTTGAAAACTTAATAAGAGCAGCTCCGTTTTGTCCGTCATAAGATGCACTCTCTCTAAACGGGATGAAAGAGGTTTTTGAGATCCGTAGTCGGTTGGCATTATTAGAGGTGCGGAGATCTTCTAACTCAATAATTTTTCGCACTTTCGTGCCATCATCCCCATTATAGTTCTGACGAACAACTCTGTAAACAGTCCACGTGTTAAGCACGTGTGTCTATTGAAGTTTTGGAAGTTTAGCGGTATTAATGTTTTTGTGCACGTACTACTTTGCTTTGGTTATAGTCGTTTAGCTCAAAAACCTGTTTTTTTTCTCCTTAAATTATTTCATAACAAGTAATTAGAGTGGCATTTTTCAGTAATGTGCGAGCTGAGCGCCCTGACAAGACAAATACCTTATTATAACAACATCATACAGCGCTACAAACGACATGCTATAAAACACCAGGATTTGATCGGCGTGTGCCGAGGTATTCTGGTTATCGTGGTTATCGATTTATAAACAGTTTTGGTACAAACTTTGATAAATATAGCAACTTTTACTTTCATTGTTCGCAAATATTAAAATTATTCCTGAGAATGATTGCATTTTGAAATCCTGGATGTATGTGTACTTTTCTGTTTTATTTTCCTCCTTGGGTGGTTTTTTTAAGACTACCTCACTCAGGGAGCCTCTTCAACTATTGTTTGCTGACTAATTATAATTCATGTGATCTTGTGTCCAATTTACCCCACTGGCAGGAAGCACGTTCGTGTAACTTATGGCTTCTTGCCCAGAGCTGACGAACGATGCTGTTCCGTTTTTAGTCGGGAGAAAAACTAGATTGAAATTGAGAAAGAAACC